GTTTATAATTGCATTTTTCCAATAATTATTACCTTGATAAAACGGTTTCATGATCCTTAGTTTAGTGGTAGTTATAGTCATTTAACATATGGTTATCACACTTAAAGTATAAATATTTAGAAATTCCAAAAATAGTTTAAATACATAAAAATCATCATATATAGTTCATATTACACTAGTTCAAAGACGTACATATTTGAAGGTGCTAATGATGGCGGGGGGGGGGCGGTGACAAAGTGGCACATTTTTCATACGACCATATATTATTAACATTTGTCAAAAATGTTCATTAATGATGATTGGTAATGGAAAAGGAGGTGAAAAAAAGTAACATCTTGGTCTTGGTGCAATAAATCTAAAAATGTATCTCCAAGTCTTGGAGTCCAAGAGTGAATAGTTGTCCTAGTAGTTTTTTTTTTATAATTTGACAAAACATAATATTTACAATCTGTATTTACAAGTTATACAATAAGTAAATGTGATGGTGATTGATTGACAGGAGGGGGAAGTCGCCCAGCGACGGCACCCCATCCTAATAGTTAAACCAATCGTCATGTDTCTTATTTTGCGCTAAAATATTCATAAAATTTTTGATTTTATAACAGTATGTTTAAGGTAAGGTTAATTTCTTACGTAAATAGATATTAAAAACATGTTTTTGTTTCGCATAGTTTTAATTCGAATTAATAATATTTTACTTGGAATTTATTTGTATGACCTTTTAGATTTAAATAAGTTAAAAAAAAATTAATAGAAATTATACAATTGAGTATATATAGTCCAGTATACGCACGCCAAATTCGAATACAGATACAGTTAATRGTCATTATTCAGTATAATATATAGTAAGACTTATTAACTTCTGTATATGCATGTTATGTTGTATCATTGTACTTTTTCTAAGGCACTTTAATGTAATTTAAAATTAAATGTACTAGAGAGAAACTAAAAAAATTGATAATTTATAAACTATTGWATTATTATAATCAWGATTATCTTATCTAGGATATTATCATTTACCTAAATAATATTTATTTTAACACTTTAAAATCGTTGTTTGGTTTTTAATATTTATTTTACAATAAACCTAATAGATTTTTAATTTTGAAAATTAATTTGATAAAATTTGAACTGAATTTTTAAAAGTATATTAATAATAAATAAATAATAATAGTACTTTATTCATACATTGTGACTTGTGAGTCATAATATATTATACGATCGAAAAATTTAACGTTTACGATAAGTTAAAATATATTTWAAAAAAATTGTTATTKGAAATATTATTAAAAGTTAAACTTGTAACAGCAAAATGAAAGTATATAAAGTATAATACTCCATGCAAACACAATATGAAAGCATTCATTAGTGAACTGATATGTATTTAAATTAAAAGTAAATTGACAATTTTATATTTCATGAGAAAATATTAATATGTACCTACATCGGAATATATACCAAAATTTAAATCATAATAATTAATAAGGATTTATTAATATTGTATAATATGAATAATATTTGTAAATAAAAATTACTTAGATATTCAATTTCACACAGTATTAATATCAAACGTGTAATCTCAAATAATATTACGTTAAGTAGTTACCTATTTGTWCATCTTATACTTGAGTGATAATATTTAATACTTGGTGTACTGTCTGTGAAAATCATTAAATGTATTGTTTTTTATTTCGCTGTGAATTACGATTTTATATTAACTATTTATGTATATATATATATATATATATATTTAATTATTAACTTATTTTTAATTATTAATTAATTATTTGCAATTACAATATTAAATTATTTTCTGTAAAGATATGTTTATGGTCTGGATCGGCATAATTTATTTTTTCTAACAGAATTTTGCGAGGTCAATTTTTGTAAAGCTTAGTTTATTGACACGAAAACGTTAATCAACAACAAAATATAGTTTTAGCATGCTACTATAGATAGTTATCAACTGCACTATATACACAAAAACATTACAAGCATTGCAGATAAAAAATATCTWGTCGAATTTTACGTATCTATAATATTATATTAGGTTTAGGTAATACATAATATGTACCAACGAGGAATGACAAATTTTATTTTCGTTCTATTCCTGTTATATCCATTATTATTCCCTTCATAAAATAGTATGGATTCTTAATCTATAGGCAACCAATTTTATCAATCGTAAAATTTAATTTAAATATTATATATTTATTGTTAATTTCTGTGCCATAAATCAGTGTTTTGATTTAAAATGGAAAAAAAAAAATGTTTTTTTTGTTGCTATTTGTTAAACATAGTATAATCATTTAAGGCTATATAAAGAGTAGTGACTCATCAGTATTTAAATAACTTTTGCAAACTAAATTGAATTATGACTAAATATTGTGTTATATTTTGTCTATAATATAATATTAGGTATGTTATCATACGAAACACAAAAAATATGATGCTATCGATCTATAATTTATGGAATAAAATATATTTATTTAAATTAGTTAGTCAATAAGCATTTATAATTATTACCTTGGCCAACTTCAATAATCCACATTATATTTTAAATGATAGGTCAACAAGTTGTATAAGTACATTACTATGTTCGATGTAGCTATAGAAGTCCCACAGGATGGCATAATGTCACCAATTCTATATAATATKTATGCTGCTGATAAACCTATCTCTTTAAATATAACTATAGGTGAGTTTGCAGATTACAAGACAATTATAGCAATTTCTGTTGCTCTAAATCTTTAAGATTACCTAATTTAAATATTTAATGTCAAACTGATGCTATTAATGGAGAGTCGAAGTAAATCAATTAAAATAGGTTCATAGTACCTTTTACTCCTTGCCCCTGTCTTGAAGTTTCTTTAGCTGACTACCTATCCTTTCATCTCAATCGGTTAAGTACCTAGGGCTAACCATCGACCAGCGCCTCGCCATGGCGCTACATGAAAGGAAAAAAAACTCACCTAAAATGCGTCTCTCCGGTTAGCGGTTGCTGAATATATTATTATCAAAAAACACACTATATAAATATGAAACTGCTCATTTAAGCCTATATAGACATATTAAGGCCACCAACAGCTCCAAATTTGAGGAAATGCCAAAAAATCGAATCTTAACATARTACAAACCATTCAAAACAAAATCCTGCACTTCATCATAAATATCCCACCTTATATTTCTAAATATTACTCTCTACTCTGTCTTAAAAATTAAAACCATTTATGAAGTATGTAAAACGCACTGCCTATAATATATAAACGTTTTTCAACACACTGCCATTGCCCACTTCACCCTAAMCCTTTAATATTCTGCCTAGCTACTACACGATTCCAGGAAACCCACTATGGTGACTAAAAAGAAACTGGTGCAGAGATCTTTTTAATGATTAATGAAAAAAAAAATAGTTAAATGAAAACGCATTAAAGCAAAAGGAAGTGCGATCACTGAATAATTTCTTACATCACCCTATTCATGTTTTTTATATTGTTGTAGCACATACCTATAATTATTGCTATATGCATTATTTGAGTATAGATTATACATATTATATTCTCCATAGATTTATAAAAAAAAAAATGACATATTATTAGAATTTATTTTATTATGTAGGTACTTATTTTGTTTATTATAATATTGTTAATTTTTATTACTTTGTKGATATTGTTCTAAGAGCCGTTTAGCATTTGTTCTAATAAAAAAAAATTACCTATGGCCTACAGGTAATCAAGTTTTTACGCATTTTTTTTTATTGTCTGCATAACTGTCAATCATAGCGAAAATAAATTTAACATATTATTAGATTAGAGGGATGAGGTTTAATTTCTATCAGGTGTTTATCACTCCTATGCAACTATTTTTGCATAATATAATAATATWACAATATAGTCCATGTCACGCTCACAGGTCACAGTCCTCATACTTAAATCGTCCGTCACAGACGCCAACAGGCTACAGTGTCATATACTGACACGATATTGCAATAATTTAGTATAATCATACTGTATTATAATATCGGTATGTTATCAAAGTATAGTGCAGCGTAATGCTGAACGTCTGAACTGTAGTAAAGTATAACGTGTGTCCATTTCTCGGCCCATCGACATTCGACACGAACGGGCCGGAAGCTGGTAGATAGCTTCATGATATATAGATATATTATGATAATATAATATCGAAATATCCGAGTCGGCAACGATGAAAAAAAGAAACAAAATAAATGACGACAATATTATATCGAATCATCGTCGACGAAAGAGAAATAATGAGAATGGCGATCGGCGGCTGCATGCAATAAACTAAATGTGTAATAAATAATAATAATAATAATAATAATATGGCGACTGCAATATTATTATAATCATCGTGTTACGTGCGCACGGCAAAGCGACAGGGGGTAGCTGAGCTGCAGACGAACGACGATTCGAAGAGGCACCACCGTGCGCTCGTTTTCAAAATAATATTATAACGTGCTCAGACTCCGGTCGCGGTAAACGCAGTCGTGTTGCACCACCGGCACCGGCGTCCCGAATTTTGGCCGCGAAACCAGTTTCGAAACGGTGCGGGTATTGTTCGGGAGGGCAAATAATGGGTACACTATGTTCAATATGTTCATATTATTATGCCGAGTGCCGACCGGTACGATGATATAACATAATTTTTTTCGTTCATTTTCAAACCGCTAACGGTCGGCCCATAGTTGGAATGCCGACGGACGTTTCGCCGTTGTCCCACAGGTGGCGGTGCGGGCCGCCGGTATCCCCGCCACACGGCGTTCGTGGTGGTGTTGGCCGCGCGTCGGTGGCGGGTGCGTTCGAAAATCTCGTCCGCGTGTACCGCGCGCACCGCTCGATCGGCGACTGCCCCCGCCACCCGTCCGGCCGTGACGGATCGCCACTCCCCCTCATCCATTCTCGTTCACAGCGTTGTAACAAACTACTACGCAAGCGGCGGCGGCGGCACATCACACATGACACATTAGCCGCGCGCACACGCACGCACATGAGCGCGATACGCACGCACACGGTCGTCGTATAAGGGGAAAGAAGAAAAAATAAAAGAGAGGAAAAAATCGAGAAGGAAAAAAACTCCGACGCACACTGCCGCGGCCCAGGCTACTGATCATCAGGAATTCCGTCCGTCCGTCCGTCAGTGTCCGTCCAGTCCGGTCTGGTCCGCCGCCGCCGAATCCGTCGGTTTTATTTAATTGTTTTGATATTTAATTTGATAAATTGTATGTTATTATATTTTACATCCAACTCCGCCGGTCTTGTGCCGTTTTTCGTCCTGTGACATCGTTGGTCGTGCGCAACATGTCCCGCGACGGTATCGTCGTCGCGCACGAGTGTCATCGGATTTCCGGCACGTTTCTACGCGACTCGGCGGCAATAAACGTGACGACGATTCCGCGTGTACAACATCAAAGGCCCGTCTGACAGTGGAGGTGAGTGTTCTTCGTCAAAGGCTTTCCGATTCTGCTTTGATGTGGTGGTGCGCGTTTTGCCGTTTAACTCGACACCCTCCCGCGCCGCGCCGCCAGCACCACTGCCACCACCCTACACGCTACCGAATCCCAGCCCCCCATCAGTTGTGTTTATAATATTAAAATCCCTTTGAAGTCTCCCCAAAGCCCTTTTCATATGTATATATATATATATAT